TCACTTCTTTTATCCTTTTTGTTCATAGTTTCATATCGACCCACTCATAATATTGTATACACTCATCACATGTGTATGTAGAGCTACTTGTATGACCATTTCTTATATAATATTGTTTTTGTGTTTAGTTGTAAGTAATTTGTAGCTCATTTCCTGTAAATTAGTTTATGGTCTTGTCTTGTAAAACAATGTGGGGGTTTGTGTGTCCTCCTCTCTCTCTTTCATCTTAGCTCGGTTTGATTATATTTGTACATTAGTAACGTCTCACTCAGTTCCTTATCTCATTAATTCATTAATTATCGTATTATTGACATTTGAGAGGATATCATGTCTGTAGTAATTATCCTCCCCCCTCTCTCTCTCCCTCTCCCCCCCCCTCTCCATTAGTGTGCTAGAGCAGGTGCCAGATGTGATTACGGCATATATTTAGGAGCCAGTGCTGACAACTATCCTTACTTACACAGGTACTTAAACAATATAGTTTTATAATTAAAATTAAGTAATTAAAATAAGTTACGTTTACTTACATGTGTGTGTGTGTGTGTTCATAATATTTTGTGTCTTTAATTCTCATTTTCTCCTTTCAGACTCTCAAGTCAATCTTTTGCACTTAAAATGTATTTAAATAAAACTTTCACTTCACTAAGACTTGACTCAATGGAGTCTTGGATCAAAGTATGACAATTAAATTTTTATATAATTTTTTATTTATAAAAGTGTACATAATAATAACCAGCCCAGCTGCCACACTGTAGTATTATTGTTATGTCATTTCTTGATTATTATTTATATTTTCTTTTTTTTCTCTAGCATTTTGAGAATTGGTCCTCTGATCGAGTTATTTGTGTTCACGCCGAGGAAAGGACAACAGCTGCTGTCCTACTCTTAGCTGAACTATACAAGAAGCGTGTTCACGTCTGCCATGTAGCAAGAAAAGAGGAAGTGAGAGAGACGATAACATCAGTCTACATGTACAATGTCATGCTGTCTGTCTGCTGCATATGAGAGGCTTTAGTTCACCAAATAATGGTAAAATAATACCCTTTCTTCCATTCTAGATTATCATCATTCGTGCTGCTAAAGAGAAAGGTCTTCCTGTCACGTGTGAAGTGGCTCCTCATCATCTCTTCCTCACTCATGAGGATGCCGTGAGACTCGGAGGAGGGAAAGGAGAAGTCAGGCCTTGTCTGGTGACTGCTGAAGACCAGGAGGCTCTCTGGGAGAACATGGACATCATTGATAGCTTTGCAACTGACCACGGTAATTAATATAGGAGAGAGAGAGAGGGAGGGAGAAAGGGAGGGAGAGGGAGAGGGAGAGAGAGAGAGAGAGAGAGAGAGAGAGAGAGAGAGAGAGAGAGGGGGGGGGGAGAGAGAGAGAGAGGGGGGGAGATAGGGAGGGAGAGGGAGGGAGAGGGAGAGAGGGAGAGAGAGAAAGAGAGGGAGAGAGAGAGAGAGGGAGAGGGAGAGGGAGGGGAAGAGAGAAGATTTAGCTTTTCTAGCCTTTATTATTCTTTGTTTCCATTAGCTCCACACACTTTAGAAGAGAAGGAGAGCTCTTCTCCCCCACCTGGTCTCCCTGGACTAGAGACAATGCTTCCTCTATTGCTAACAGCTGTCAGTCAGGGAAGACTCACCATTGATGTATGCATAAAACCAATATAGTTTCATTCTCATAATTCCGTTCCCATTCCTAGGATGTCATTCTCAGACTCTATACCAATCCTATGAAGATATTCGGACTCCGCCCACAACTTGATACCCACATTGAGGTTGATTTAGACGAAGAATGGATAATACCCGATTCTCTTCAATACTCAAAAGTATATTAACGTACACGTAACTTTACTGTAGTTCATGCATGTAGAATAGATTGACTTAATAGTAATATTTATTATTTATTCATTTTTTATTTATTGTTATTATTGTAGGCAAAATGGACACCGTTTGCCGGTATGAAAGTCAAAGGTTGTGTCAAACGAGTCGTCTTACGTGGAGAAACAGTTTTTGTTGACGGCAAGGTCCTTGCCGAGCCTGGCTATGGTCAAGACGTGAGACTCCAGCCTCCTCTCTCTCCCCCTCTCTCGTCAGCAAGGGGTGTGGCTAAGACTCATTATCACCAGTCGGGCGGAGTTGAGTCAGCCAGTGATGGTCCTGAGGTGGGGTCCCTCCCTAACAGGACGCGGCACGACTCTGAACCCACTGGGATCAAAGGTTTGTCCATTATACACAGACTATAAATAAATAAATAAATATAGGATTTATTTTAATGCTACATATTATTATATTTAGTTTTATGTAATTTTATCATCCAATATTATTTTGTGCCCATGCTTGCACTTTAAAAGAAAATTTAAAGGAGTTCGAAATATTGTTCTCACTTTATTTCTTCACTGATTCTTTCTCTAGTATTGGATGCTCCATCTTCTCCTCACAAGCGGTTCAATTCCCCCTTGCGTGGGCGACTTCGCTCCCCCAGCCCATTAGATTATCGTCCTCAGACTCCGCCCTCTTTTGATTTGCATTCCGACACGTCGAGCTCCGCCTATAACGACACCTCGGCATTACCATGGCAACCCATGTTTTACAAGCGTAACATATTGTCAGTCAGTCAGTTTAATAAAGAGCAGGTTTGTGGGCGGGGCATAGGGTGTGGTTTAATGAGATGTCTTTTATAGCTTCATTATTTATTTAACTTGAGTCAAGAGATGAGGAAAAGGGTTAAGAAACATGGCTGCCTTGACATATTGAAAGTAATAAAATTTATATTTAATGTTCATAATAATACACAATTGCTGATATTTTAATTCCTCTATTTTATCCTTCAGGGTAGAGTCTTAGGTTCTATGTTTTATGAGGTTAGTACT